ACCAAAGTTCAAGCCTGGGTGGCTAGGAAGATGGTGGTACCCTCAAAAGTAATAGGGAGGTTAGAAAGAAGGGAGAGTTTTTTGGGGAAAGATAATGAGCTCATTTTTGAAAATCTTAAGCTATGTACAGGACATCCACTTTGAGATATCTAATAGGCAGCTGCAGATGCAAGATTCAAGATCATATGTGAGGTTACAGCTGGATAAGTGGATTTGAGAATCCTTAATAAAGAAATGATTATGGAGTCCATGGAATCTCTTCAGGTAACCAAGTGCAATAGCATAGAAGGAGAAGAAAAGAAGGTGCAGAACAGAGATCTCTAAACCAGTGAAATCACAGGTCCAGATTATATAACTACCCTTTCAGTTTTATGAAAACACATTCATAACAGCTATTTGAGGTGAGGAGATGAGTATACAATTGAAATCAAATGAGAGAAGCACTTTGCAGCCCTTTAAAGCTGTATATAAATATCACCTGTTTTTATTGCTTGTGCCCCTATTTTTCACTAAGAAAAATTAGGCTTAGAGACATTAGGTAACATCCCTAGTTACACAGTTCCTAAATGGGACTGGGACCCATGTCTTTTCTCAAATTACTTTCACTTTGTACCGTGCTGCCTATTCATGTGTTTCTTGTATAGAGGAGAATAATGCCAACTGACATGGCCCAGAAATCATGAAGATAGATTACCCTTAAATGTTGTATTGTTTGCTAATATAATACGGTCATTGGTTCAGAAAGAACACCTCAGGGCAGCTGGGTGGCGCAGCAGATAGAGCACCAGCCCTGAAGTCAGGAGTACCTGAGTTCAAATCCGGCCTCAGACACATAACATTTACTAGCTGTGTGACTCTGGGCAAGTCACTTAACCCCAACTGCCTCACTAAAAAAAAAAGAAAGAAAGAAACAAGACCTCAAAGAAGTGGGTTTTGAAGCTGCTGAAGTGGTTTTTAGAACAATTTGATAGGGGCAGCTAGGTGGCACAGTGGATAGACCACCAGCCCTGAAGTCAGGAGGACCTTAGTTCAAATCTGGCCTCAGACCAAACACTTGACAATTACTAGCTATGTGACCCTGGGCAAGTCACTCAACCCCAATTACCTAAAAACTAAAAAAAAAAAAAATTAAAAATAAAGAAATAAAACAATTGGATAATTCTTTACATTTAAATTCATTAAGTTTTGACTCCTGTTGCTCTACTTAACTCAATGACTTAAAAGTTTTGATAAAATCTTAGATATAGAGCTGCACTAAAATGTTAAAATTATGTAGTCTACTCTACTTCATCTTACAGATAAGCAAAGTGAGCTTCAGAATAAATGAACTTCTTTGAGATCACACAGGTAATAAGCGAGAAAGACCAGATTCATACCTAGGGCCTCTAACTCTAAATGCGGTACTCTTTTTGTATTAATTTTAAAATATTAAAATAAAACTGTAATGTAAAAAAAGAATAATTCAAAATGCAAACTATGGTTTAATAGTTGTATATACAATTTAGAAATTGTTTTATCCCAATTTTATAGATGGAATAACTGAAATGAAGAGAGTCTTAGTAAATTACCCATGTTCAAACAGCTAGAAAGTGGTTTGTTGTTATTGTTGTTCAGTTGTGTCTGACTCTTCTGACTCCATTTGGAGTTTTCTTGGCAATAATATTGGAGTAGATGGCCATTTCCTTCTCCATCTCAATTTACAGATGAGGAAACTGAGGCAAACAAGATTAAGTGACTTTCCCAGGTTCACATAGCTAATAAGTGTCTGAGGCCAGATAAAATTCAGGTCTTTCTGACTCCAGGCTATATGCTCTATCCACTGCACCACCTGGCTGTCCTAGAAAGTGGTAGAGCTCTGATGTTTATAGTGTTCTGATTTATCAATATAATGTCTCACTATACCATACTTCAATTGTATTATAATTTGGTTTTTTTATTTGATTACTTGGCATTTAGTTTTTTTGTTACTGTGCTACCTGAAATAAAAGTTAGATAGGTTTTGTCATGATCATTTTTTATAGAAATAGACCTCTTTTTAGTTCAGAACAAAATATATTACTCTGAATATAAATTTTATTTTGTTGCAAACAATGGTTTCTTTTTAAATATTTTTGGTAATGTTTTCTGCTAACTGATATTTAAGATAGAAAGACTCCAACTGTTGGAGATGACTTAAAAGACCCTGCCAGTGGCATTATATCATATTAGATGGGTATTAAAGTTTAAGAGTAGAGTTTCATTACAATATGATCCTTGGGGCCTACTCTACAGGGCTGTTTTTTTTTTTTTGTAACTAGTTTTGTCCAATAATTTCATTTCATAGAATGATATTTCAAAATCTTTCCCTTCTGAGGAGATTGTGTGGCTATCTATAAGATAGAATTTTATGTTCCTGGCAGGGCCCAAAATTAAATCACATTTTATCTGAAAGGAAAAAAGAAAGTCTCCATTTCCTTTATGGTTTGAAAGTCAGTCTTTAGAAGCAGTCCTTTAGTAAACAGTAGTGTTTTCCCAAGTAATAGGAGACTAATTTAGTGATATAGAAGTTTAAAACTAATCCACAAAGATAATCATGGAATCTCAGAATTAGAATTCTGTACATGTTAAAACACTTTACAAAAAAGTATTCCAGGTGCAGGCTTCTATACTATATCATACCTCTACATAGATTTGGGGTCAGAACTTGCTGATTTGAGTTCTAAATCCAATAGTTTTTGTCCAGTTGACAATTTGAGTATCCTCCTTGACCTTCAGTTTTAGCAGATATGAAATGGAAATAATACTACTTGTACAATCATTTTCTTGTTTGTTTGTTTCTTTTGCTTTTCTTTACATGTCCACTTCTTAGCACTGTGTCTGGTATAGAGTAAGTGCTTAATAAACTTGTTCACTAAGTGATGAAAGTGATTTAATTTTCTTCTGCAAGGAACATAAAATTCTATAGATAAATAAAAAGCTCTTATAATATTAAAAGTAAACTATTATTATTCTTTGAATTTATTTTATCTATTGTCAACTTTTTACTCATAAAACCTACTCTTCTTTTTCCTTTCTTTTTATTTTATTTTTTTTTTTAGGCAATTGGTGTTAAATGACTTGCCTAGGGTCACACAGCTATGAAACCTGTTCTTTTCCCTCACTGGTTTCTCCTGCCATTTTACCACTTCTACTTCAACAAGTCCTCCTAATTACAACTGATAATTTCTTAGAAGGAATATAAAGAACCATGTACACATAATCCCTGAAGAACTTATTTCACCTTGTCTTCAACTGGGCTTCCATTGCCACTTGGCAAATGCTTTGCTGATCTCTGATTGATTACCATCCATGCTTTCCTAATACCTATTACAAACAAACACATCGTGCTTCTACCGGGTTTTGTGTTGTTGTTAAGGCTTTTCCCTTATATCTAGATGTCCTCACCAGTTCCTCAATTTTTTTTAGTTCAATTACACAGAATTTGGTTCTTAAAAATGTAACGTGTTTTAAAAAATAATTTTAGATATTTTCTTTCAATCTAGTACCTTGAGAATATTTGCCGACATGCAACCTGAGGTTATTAAGTAATGACTGCTAGAGGTTATTGCTAGAAAAGTGAAATGGTCTATTTACTAGAAATATTAGTTTCCCCTTTCATTTTATATTTCTGATTTAATTATAAAGGAAATAAAGAAAACTAATGATAATAATAATAATAAAGATATACCGTAATAAAGGAAACAAACTGCAATAACTTAGAATACTGATTTATTATATGAGTATATGTTTAAATGACAAAATATATCCATCATGATTAATTTTAATCATATGTCATTATAATGTCAGTAAATATTGGTTGACATTTCACTAATCTTTGTCTTCTAAGCTCAAGAGAATTTCTGCTCGAAGTTCATTTCTGTTTTACTTATACTCTCATTTACCCTGAAGGTTTAATTTATATTATATATGCCAAATACTGCCTAAAATATAGATTTAGCAGAATCAAGGTTTTTAACTTTAACATCCACTTTTAAAATACTCTAAATCATTGTTGCTTAGAGAAATGTAAATTAAAACACCTCTGATGTACCACCTCACACCTATCAGATTGGCTAATATGACAGAAAATGAAAATAATAAATATTGAAGGGGATGTGGAAAAACTGGAACATTAATGCATTGTTGGTGCAGTTGTGAACTTATCCAACCATTCTGAAGAGCAATTTGGAGCTATGCCCAAAAGGCCATAAAACTATAGACCCTTTCACTTAGCAATGCCACTACTAGGTCTATATCCCAAAGAGAGAAAAGGGGTAGTATGTGTGTTGGGGGTGGGAAGGACTCATTTGTACAAAAATATTTATAGCCACTCTTTGTGGTGAAAAAGAATTGGAAATTAAAGAGATGCCTATCAATTGTAGAATTGCTGAGTATATGATTATAAGGGAATATTACTATTATATGAGAAATGATGAACAGGATTGTAGAAAAACCTGGAAAGTCTTGTAAGAACTGATGCAAAGCGAAATGAGCAGAAACAAGAATACTGTCTACAGTAATAGTGATATTATATGATGATCACTTGTGAATGACTTAGCTATTCTCAACAATTCAGTTATCCAGACAATTCCAAAGGACTCATGATGAAAAATGCTATCCACACACAGAGGAAAAACTGATGGAATTTGAATGAGATCAAAGCCTACTAGTTTTCATTTTCTGTTTTTTTTTTACTTTGGGTCTAGGTTTTTCTGTTAAAAAACTGTAATATAACATTCTAAGTAAAGATACTATCTCTTTTTTTAAAAATTTTACCATTATCATTTTACTCTTTGTTACACTCAACAAATGCGAACAAAATATGAAGTACATATGCATATGAAAGCTTAAAAATCTGAACCATTGTGTTTTATTAGAAAATAAGTTACTTTATATACTTTAACAAAATAGTAACTAAGAAAGTATTTTCTTAACAAAATATCTAAAAATATTATTTTCTTTTTCTTTCATTTTGCTGCTAGGTTCTGGCCTAAACGATGGACAATGGCATGAAGTTCGTTTCCTAGCCAAGGAAAATTTCGCTGTTCTCACCATTGATGGTGATGAAGCATCAGCAGTTCGAACTAACAGCCCTCTTCAAGTTAAAACAGGGGAAAAGTATTTCTTAGGAGGTAAAAAAATTAGCTTGTTTTTATCTAATTATTTAACCCATTGCCAAATGCAACATTTCATTGAATCATCGAGGAGTTATTTGAATGGTGTTTCATCATACCTGTTGTTATCTGTCAACCAGATGGTAATAGGGAACAGATTTTTTTTCTCTAAAATTTCATATAGATGAGACAGCTTAATAATTTTTAAAAGTCCTATGTTCTTTGATAGTGGGCCTGTTTGGATATTTCTCATACTAATTTTTAAAATAAATTGTGACTCATTCTGGACAGAGTAGATTTTTGCTATCCTCAAGGTGTTTAATACTTTGTTACAAGTCTTCTATGTCATTCCAACTAATAACGCGGCCTTTGTTGCACCTTGAGGGGCTTAGTCCTGTGATGGACTTACTTTATACCAAATTATATAAAGACTGTTTCTCTAGAGCCACATTCTGGCATATTTTCTATTTTGGGAAAGTAATCCTTTCAGCACCTGTAATATGTCTAAGGAAAACTTTCATTAGATTTCTGGAAATACTTACTTTCATTGGCCCATTAGATGTTTCTCATACTCTTTATCACATAACTTGAGTCTTAAACATGAAGAATCAAGTAAAAATTATCATTGTATACCTTTTAGCAGAAAGATAGATTTTCTGCTTAAATAGGAGAGAAATAAGCATTTCTTTTTCTATCACAGCAGGCTGTTACTTCATTCCCCTGTGAAAATAGTTGATCTGGCACGATTATGCTCATGCCATGTTATACTTGCTGCAGTAGTATTGTTAATCAAACAAGGTAAAATCATCTTTAGTACTGAGACACCATACGGGCAGTATAAAATTACGTGAAATACTAGCATTTCATCAGACTGGCAGTTGAACATTAAATGAATTTGGCTCTTACTTAGGTTACTGTCTCAAAGACCATTGTGATTTCTGTTTGCTGGCAAGAAACATCTTAAAAGCATTAAAATATTATTTACAAAGAATGCCCCTCTATGTAGGAGAGCTTGGTCTTTTGATCTGGATATAGAAGCAGTAGGGATTTTTATTTTTTAAATGTGTCTACCAGTTATGACTGATTTGACCATATACTTATATACATAACCATTCAGGTACACTTGGATTAAGACTGAGAATCTGACAACACTTTTGATAATGGTCATGTCTCATATTCATTTTTAAATATCTTTAGTTATATTTCATTTACTGAATTTGAATCAGGTAAGAGGGAGAAGTGGTCCTGATGAAATGGGAATCCCATACAGTCATTCCTTTCCATCTTTATTTTAGTTTATGTGGATGCCAGGATAGATCAACTCAAGTACCAATGATGGGAAAGAGATGGCCAGATTTTTAGGAGAGCTATTATCTTCTCAAGACTACTATAGCTTTTCTGGAGCTCCTTCACTCTGAATCAAATTCTTTAGCCTTTTGAAAATCCCAGACTTTACTGAACCCATTAAACTTTTGGCAAACCCAAGATGAACTTATATTCTGCCTTTACCTAAGACAAGATCCTGTGTCACACTGTATCCCACATGTGATAGTCTCACATACTATAGATAGCTATAGCTATTTATGTAAAATGTCTAAATCAAGCCAAAGCCACTGAATAAATAGCCAAATATTGACATGCTCCATGCAGAGCAGGGTGATAGTTTTCACTGCAGCAGCATCATGCTCATTTTTCTACAACTCTTTATTGGTTGTTTCCATTATCTTTGCCCTTCCTTGGGAACAAAATCATAATGCTGCTGAGATCATCCATCTCTTTCCCTTGCTACTACTGTGAATTCAGAGTTGCCCACACTGTATCTATAGGATTGCAAAGAAACAGCTTGAGAAGGAATTAACTTTTGCCTATATATTTCCTCGTGTATGAACAAGATGTTCTCTGTGAAGTGTTTCATCAAAACATTTAATCTTGCCATCTAGAAGAAAAGATTCTGCCCAAATCATCCTAGATATAAGATTAGCCATTGCTGATCCACATAATATTTATATTTTATGGCAATTTTAACTTTTCAAGATATATGTACATTAATAACCTCACTATATCTTCCCATCAACAAGGAATGTGTTAACTTCCTATTTTACAATTAACATAGTGATATAATGCCAGGAGCTCTGGATTTGGGGCTCAAAAATTCTCTTATGCTCACTAAATATGACCTTAGCAAGTCACATGACCTCAGTTTCCTCATCTGTAAAAATTGATATAATAATACCTAGATTGGCTTTCACAAGATTGTTGTGAGGTCCAGATGAGATCTACAAAGCTTTAACTACAACATAAATAATAATTACTGTTAAGTTGAAGTTCAGAGTTGAAGTAGCTCATCCAAAATTATCTGTTTTGTAGATTTGGCATGAGCTTTTCAATCACAAGAGAGCTACAGAGATTTCTATAAGATTTGTGCCAGCTCTGTGCTGTTTAATTGCTGTATCATTGTCTTGAATGAAAGCATCAATGCCATGCTTATCAAATCTGAAGATGATATAAAGTTGGAAAGAATGACTAACAAATTGTATGACAGGATAAAATAGTAGGTCAAATCTAATAAGGTGAAATTTAAGAATGATAACTGTGAAATTTTACCTTCAGGTTCAGAAAATCAGCCTCATAAGTATCTGGGCCTGGAATGTCTAGTCAATAGTTCCTTGGGAAAAGTTCTGTATGAGATTTTAGTGTACTATAAGTTCAATAAATCAACCAAGTGCATGGTAACCAAGAAAGCTAATTTAATCTTAGTCACCATTGAGAGGCATGGTTTCTAGCATCATGGAAGGTATACTCTCACTGTATTCTATCTTGGTAAGACTGTATTTGTTGTGCATTGTTCTGTTCTCTATATCATGTGGTAGGAAAGATGATGATAATAAGCCAAAAGGAACTCAAAGGAGTGCATTCAAGATGGCAAAAGGCCTCAAGATCCTGTCATGGAAAGTGGTTGAAGGAAGTAAGGATGTTTGAGGGAGACTAGGGAAATGATGTTTATTTAAGTATTTGAGAGTTTGTCCCATGGAGGAAAGATTATATTTGTTGTACTGCTTCCAAACTTTAACAAAGGATTTATAGCTGCTCTAGTGTGGGATAGACTGCTTTAGGAAGTAGTGTTTTGTCATTACTGGAGGTCTTCAAGTAAAGAGTGGACAGTAATTTATTGAATATGTCAAAATTGGATTTTATACAGATTTGGATTGGGCTCTATGTCCTTTCTAAATCTGAAATCTTTCTAAATATAAATCATGTCCCTTCTAATTCTAAGATTTCATCATCTTCTATATTATATCTTTTGTTCCCATTTGTTGATTGTATACTCACATGGGTTATATTCTCCACTTTACTTATGGTAAGCACACATCTCTCTAATGTCCTATAGATCAACTACAATTTTTATTCCTAACATATTGTGATCTTTTATAATTTTCAGCCATGTTGCATCATTGAAATGTTATGTCTGATTAAAGAGATAGATTTTTGCTCCAGGGATATTTGAGATTATTGAAACCAATAACCAATATTCCAAAAGCAATCTATTATATTTTGTTTTTTGTTATACAACTTAGCATACAGATCACTGTCTTTCTTTAGTATATGAAAGAAATATATTTATTGTACTAGCTTAAGATGCTAATCATTTGATTGTGCATCCTATCCTGGATAATAGATGCTCATTTGTTCACTTTTTTTTTGTTTTCCTCTGTAGACTGTGAGGTCTAACTCTTATGTGGCTGTGGATCTCAAATAGAAGGCTCTGAGGCCTGATGCAATCATTACTAAAAAAAAAAAACAAAAAATAGATATAATTTGAAACCTCTCTCATACATTCTTAGCAATTATTATTTATTACTTAATCTACCCCTGGTTTGCTCCAGGGTTGGGGGAAACCCATTTTATTTTTATTTTTAAGGTTTTTGTAATCATCTTAAATTAATCCTCTCAAGGCATGACTTTAGAACTTCAGAACAGGTTAGTGTTCAAAGTACCTGCTGCTTCTTCTCGTGTCCCTCAGTGCCCATAGTTTTTTCTTTAACTCTACTCCAAGTATGCTAATTACCTATAAGCTCATAGTTATCAATAAAAGCACAGCCTTACCATCCTTTGTATTTTCTTCTTTCATTTGAATAATTTGGTATTCAAAGCCCTAGATTAGTCAGTAACTTGTCTCTGGCTTCACTTATAGTTAAAGTCCCAATCCATCACACCTAAAGGTCATATATCTTTCCCCAGGAAGGAATTCTATCTCCTATAATTTCTGCTATGCTTAGACCTTTGTTTGACTTTCCAGATCATCCTCCTTTATGTCTAAATAGGTTGGTTTTTTTTTTTAGTTTTTCTACCTGAATAGAAACTAAAAGGGGAAGATCAACAGCCTCAAAATCAGACCCCTCCACAGTAGTGTTAACCAAGCTTTCATAGCTTCATTCAGTGATAATTACAATTTGTCTTTTTTTAAGGATGCTTTAGGATTTACAATGCACTTTCTTAGCAGCAAATCTATGAGGTAGATTGTGCAATTAATACTATCTCTCTTTGATAAAATGAGGAAAATGAATCTCTGAAAGGTTTCATGACTTGCCCACAATCACTTGGAAAATAAATATGAAGTGGGACTTCAACCCAGTTTTTTTGACTCCAAGGTCAGAACAGCCAAGCTTGATCTAGGTAGCATCTTCCCAACAGAAACTGCCTGCTGTTGGACATTTCATTATTGACTTATATATCATACACGTTGGCTTTGTGTAGCATAAACCCCATGGAGAATACTTTGGTGGTAGGCCCTTTTATGTGCCATATGTGATATCCTGGGAGGTAGGCCCCTTACGGAGAAAACGTATCTAAGACTTTCTAGTGGGCTAAATGTTCTGGCTCAGTGCTGAATGACTTCGCACTTTGGGATGAGGAAGGAATCTACTTTCTGGTCACTAAAGGAGAAAAATCTGCCCACTCAGTAAATGCTAAAAAGAAGTGATTCCCTTCACTTATTCTCTCCTTCCTTTCTCTAATCA